ACAGGTTCTTGTCGAGATTTTGGTCCATTCTTATTCTTCGAACGCGAATTGGAAACGCGGTGTTTCAGCCCCGTCATTGTCTTAATCGTCTCTGCCGAATAAGGGCCGGATTGATGCTTCCAGTCCTTCGATGGCTCCCTGGTCGGAATTCGGACAGTAATACTGCCATCTACAAGGAAAGTCATCTTGAAAACTGTGGAGAGACGAGTCTGGCCAGTCTTGAGAGGTTCCAAAGGTTGGGCATCGACCAGAGATACTGGAAAGAAGACCGATTGCAAGACTAAACGCTCACGATCTGTCCAAGGACCATAATTCACTATGCCGTTACCAAACACCAGTTCAAGACCATAATCTGGCGGCTGGGACCCATTTGCATCCTTCGAAGATAACGGGACATTCGAAAAAGGGTCAGGATTATCTCTCACTCGGCCAGCGACATCCCAGAAGAACTTGAGACCGATGTTGTCGAAGTCGGCAAGAGATGATAGCCTTGCATACTCAAAGTCATCCCATTCGTTAGTTTGGGATTGATCATGAGTATCCATGTATCGAGCCAACCCGTGCCAAGGCTCTGGGACGAAGAGAGGATCTTGCGCTTCGGAACTGGCGGAGTTCTCAACAACTGAAGCGGCTCGTACAGAGCCAGAGCTGGACCGTCGCCACGGGACATCTCTTCTAAATCGTCTCAACAACAAGCGTATGGGTCGAACAATGAAAGACCAGCGGCGCTTTCGACGTCGCGCCTGATCTTCATGGTCGTTTGAACGAGATGCCGCCGCAAGTTGGACTTCTTTGAAATCTTCATTTTGTCTCAGCGAAACGTGGACGTTTTCAGCATTGAAAAGGAAGACCAATTTGAAGATGTCTAATGGACCTGCAGGAGACGCATCAATGCGCCCCTTGGCTACCTGGGTCTTGGCCACAATGACACTTCGAGTGTGTTCGTTCCCGACTGCTGCAGCAGCCTTGAGACATTCCACCTGTATAGGGAAGATTTTGAGATAACCCGGTAGATGTTCCGCACTTTGGTGATGATCAGAACGAGTCGTCGGGACACTTTCCAGCCCGTTACTTTCAGCCTTGACTTGTTCCTCGAGTGGTTTCTCGATTCCCGAATGCTTCTTCTCGTTGAAATCAGATTCACTCTCTGGTGACCCGGCAGAGGTAGACTTCGGAGAGTTCGGTCGTTGTTCAGACCGTCTAGCTTTGGCAGCTTCGAATTCGGACATCAAGTGGTCGTATGAAGGACTGTGGTTGTAGAGAAACGCCTCCACACCTGAAACTCGGACATGAAACCGGCATGGCAAATTTGTCTGCGATGGCATGCGCCCAATTTCCTGTTGACTGTCATCTTGGGTGTCCGGCGTGGGAAGTTCTGACAGCGATTCGTTGTCGGAGCCAATGCTCGCAGATATCTTGTTCTGTGAGGTGCGATAGACGTCTGCTGTTTGGACTCTACGCAGCCAATATCGCCATGTGATGCGGCCATCATGTACAAAGATGGTTTCATTATGGGCCTGGTATCGAATGCTTTTGAAGAAAAGGCGGCCTCCCAGCAGCGATATCTGAAGCGACGTGATATCCACATGTGCCTTATACTTATGCCACGTATAGGTTCGGATTGCGTAGGAGATGAAAGTCGCAAAGACTCGATTAAAGTAGAAGAGAAAGAAAACCGACCTACAGGTAGTCAGCGAGATCGAAGGTAGCCATACAATGGGTATCTCACAGAATACCACAAAGCGCGAGCTCAATTAAGAAGACCCAGTTGAAGCCGCCGCCCGAGCCGAGCGGCTGGGCGATCAGGTCTCCGCTTGCCATGGCTTTGCGGTATCGACCTCGCGACCGAAGCTTTCATATTGACAGCAACAGAAAAGTCTGATAGTGCTGCGTCAGGCCCTAGAAAGCTCGTATTCCATTTGGGTCCGGATGCTCCGGACAGCGCAAGCGTCGTGCCACGCACAGGAAATGAGCGGATGTGTAGGGAAGACGTGCGGACGGTATGGAGCAGGGCGCTGGTTAGCGATGAAGCATGCAACACAAGAATTAAGGTGTGGTCCAAGCTTTGTGGGGAAGGGGATCGCCTCGCCCACGACAGCCCGCCACGTCCAGGCTGCAGCTTCCGTGTCGACAAAACACCCCTCGTGACGTTCATGGCCTTCATGCGCCTGGCGATGCGCTCTATCAGCAGCCATGATCAATACTGAACCGATCCATACTTGAGTTTGCATATCGATCTGGTCGTGTGGGTCTTTGCAGCCTCGAATGCCAGGCATGGGGGAACAAAACTCTAGCGGCGGCGGCACTGGCAGCCGGTTCGCAACCATAGTCACCATCCTTGCCGGGGTGTCTGCGTTGGTAGCAACTCTTCTGACTTTTGTGTAAGTCTGATCAGCATGAAAATCTGGTGCTCTATTGACATCGCCCGACAGATCGGTATGGCTTCAGAGGTACAGCGCATTCAATGAGACTTGAAACATGACAATCAGACCTGACCGTCTCCTCAGCAAGAACTATAGGAAACCTTTACTGCAGCGCTACGTGATCCGTATCTTGCTCATGTAAGTCCCCCTCTCTCAGAGCTGGGCTATGCTCACGTTGAACAGGGTTCCGGTATATTCGGCCGCGTCTTGGGCTAGCTTGACCTCTTTGAAGGTCGCTTTCTGGATCGACCCGTTCAGAGACGTCTATGAGGTACGCAGCTCATGAACAGACCTCGACATTCCGCTTCTGACCATCGGCACAGGCTTTCACACTCTATGCATTCTTCCAGCTGTTGATCAATTTTATTGGTGGTGAGCGGTCTCTCATCATCATGATGCATGGCCGCGCTCCTGTGTCGCACCTCTGGCCCATGAATCACTGTCTTCCCAAGGTTGATATTTCCGACCCACATACTTTCTTGGCAGTTAAGAGGGGGATTTTGCAGTACGCTTGGATCAAGCCTGTGCTCGCTGTGGCTACAATTGCTCTGAAGGCCACCGGCACATATCAAGAGGGTTATATTGGACTCACTTCCGGCTATCTCTGGACCGGGATTGTCTATAACGTCAGCATCACGATTAGTCTTTATGCGTTAGCGCTCTTTTGGGTTTGCATGTCGCAAGACCTGCAGCCATTCCGTCCTATGCCCAAATTTCTTTGTATCAAAGGCATCATCTTCGCTTCTTACTGGCAAGGATTCTTTCTGTCAATTTTAGTATGGCTCGGCGCCATACCCGATATCAACTCGGATTATTCCGCCGACAACCTTGCTGCGGCAATTCAGGATGCATTAATATGCTTCGAAATGCCCTTGTTCGCAATCGCTCACTGGTATGCTTTCTCCTGGCATGACTATGCGGATAGGACCATCTCAGATGCAAGGATGCCTGTCAAGTATGCGTTGCGAGATGCCTTTGGGCCACGAGATCTCATTGAAGACGCTAAGGAAACGTTCTACGGGACCAAGTATGAGTACAGAAACTTTGATGCCGAAGACAATGTCATCACACACGAAGATTCTAGATCTAGGGAAGCTCGTATGCGTGAAGGCATGCGGTATGAGAGGGGCGGCAGAGGAAAGTATTGGCTACCAGGAACTTCGCGTGCAGATGCGAAGACACCCTTGCTTCCAAAGTTAGCGTCGAGTCGAGCGCGAGGCATGAGTCCTGGGGCGCATAAGGCGCTTACCCACACCAATCATGCGGATCAAGACTCCCCGGAGCGTGACGACCTGGGCGACTCGTCCCTTGATCCCGAGGAAGAATCGTTATATCGAAGCGCGCGAACACTGGAGTTCGGCGACTGGAATTACCCGGTCATTAACACGCACTTTGCCACGGAAGAAGATCGACTGCACGCGCAGCCGAATATTCTTACGGGGTCGACGAATCGGCACTTGCTCTATCCGACCAAGGCGAATCAGCAACGTCGGAAAGCTCGAGTGGAAGGCCTCCGTCAAAGCGTGTCGAAAGGCAAGCAACGGCGAACAAGCAATGGCGAAGCGTCAACGAGTAACGACTCGGATAACAAAAGTTCTGATCGACCTCAAGTGAAGAAGACGGCATCGAGCGAATCCTCGGGATCCGCCAATAGCCAGCTAGTGGATATTGTGGTCGAGGACCACGAAGCGGAACAGGTGGAGCGTGTGCGAGCGCGCAAAGAAGGGGGCCCAGGCTGGAATATGGTGGATAACAAGCATTTTGTGTAAGTGGTACCTCAACATGAGCAACGAGCTCATAAGTGACTAACGTGTTGCAGAAACACTTATGGAGACGAAGCCGAAGAAGTGGTACGAGCAGGGTTCAATCCGGACAGAACACAACCGCAGGATGATGACCAGACCCACAACTTGGACGCGCCATTTGCGGTCGGCGACGACGATGAAGATGGCGGACAACAGTCGGACGATTCGACAGACGAACTTGGACGGCATCAGCCTTGGGATCGCAGGCGCTTCGCCGAATCGGATACGCGCAGTCACGATTATGGCAGCTTCCACGAGGAAAGGAACGCGTGGGATCGATAATGATGATGATCACTTTGCCACGCGATGCTATAGGTGTAATTTTGCCGTGGCGGAAGAACTGGGGCTGTACATATTTCGTGCATGGCGCAGGTGTTCACCATAGCGATGCGAGATAGCTTTAGGGCGTAAATTTAACATGGAATGCAGAACTTGCAGACTGTGAATTCAAACCCAAGGTAATAATCCGAGTGGCCGAGGGCGGCAATACACAACTTCACTCAAGCGATGAATTGTTTGATTGACCCATATCCGAGAATCAATTCAACAACACAGCTCCTACGCAGATGGCAAGAGCAGCACCGACACTGCAATGAAATCTCAAGTCTTTGAAATAACGGCTTCACGCGAGATGCCAGAAATCCTCCTCCTTCCCCCCACACCCGACCATTGCTGACCTCTACAGCCCCATGGACAGCGCACATACCATCCCGCACAAAGGAAATGTCTATATATTCACCCTTGACGCGGCCCCGGCTCCGTCGCTGGATTTTCCCAGGTAGCTCAGTTGGCTAGAGCGTCCGGCTGTTACTCTGATCACAATCATCAACAAAAACCGGGAGGTCCGTGGTTCAAGCCCACGTTTGGGAGACAGACTGCTTTCCTTTTTTCTCGCCCTCAATACAACATGATGTCTCTTGTGCTCTCAAATTAATAGTCTCGAAATGTGGAAGACAGGGACACGGAACAAGGACTGTAGTGCATCACAAGTTTTTTGAAGACTTCTGCCCAACTCGGGCATACTAGTGTTTTCGCTCGCTATCTATTATATGTACATCTATACTTTTCGTGACAATGAGGGGCCGTTCGGTCTTCTTCATACGCTATGCTGGTATCAATATGTAATGAAGAAAAGAATATGTGCAAGAGAAGATACGCCAATCAGACGAGGATCTTTCCTTTTCGATCACCCGCTCTCAAATGCAAGCCGTGAGGTTCTTGTACAGATACATCCTTGTACATATACATTAAGTGGTACGGTCCGAAGCCGGGTCGTACCCCGCTGGAGAGCTCGCCAGACGATGTGTTATCCTGGAGTCAATGTGCGTCTATGCGCGATTCAAAGCCAATGTCGAATCTATCGAAGGGTGTAATATGTCACCGTGGTGCGTAATCGATTTCGCTAACACTGGTGCATATAAGAATTACTGGGCGTGCTGTAGCCTGGGATATCATTCCATTTCTGCCATCTCGCGTTAGCCCTTGCTTAATCTGTGCCAATAGAAAGTGGATGAACTTACTGTGTAATTAGGGTTGTTATACGCCTCCGGGTGTTTGGCAATATATTCGGTGGTCTCAAAACCCGGCGGATCGCAGGTGATGCTCTCCTCCCCTTCACGTTGGTAGACTCGCACGTAGTCAATTCTCATGATGGTAGGGAAATGACCAGCAAGTTTTGCCCAGTCAATTGTGGTCCACGCATCACTGATACCGAGATTGAGCACCATACTCATTGGCTCCTCGCTGATGATGCGTTGGCCGACATTGCCGTTAGGACCAATAGCCCGCGCGTCAAATCCGGCCATTATCTCGTCACCAACCGCCCATGCGATGTACGAATGCTCGTCGGATCCAGGCTCGTATTCGTATGAGTATCGCTGGTATGCCTTGCCATCAAACCAGTCATTATTCAAGACCGTGGTCGTAGAGACTGCTTGTTGGTATGGTCCGCCCGTATAGCTGTTAACGAATGAGAGGTTGTAGTCCGGCGTATAAAAGTATTCATAGTTTGGATAGTACCAGATGTCGAAAGGCGCGACCTGGTATGATTGTGTCGCGGTCGCCCAGCCCATGTTGCCATAATCTGCAGCTACTTCGACGATATCAATCTCAGGTGCACCTCGCCCTTGGCCGGGAGTGGGATGGTCGGCCCCGGGACAAGTGCAGGACGGTAGCCTTTGACCAGGCAATTTACTCGTACCATCGGTCATGCTTTGATTAGGCGTTATGCCCGAGTCGCATTCGTTGTACGTGTATGGCCAGAGACCATCGGTAGTTGCCAGATAGCCAGGTCGGCCAAGGTTGCCCATGGACCATACGCCTGGCCACAACGCATGAACACCTGCAGGACCAGGCAATGACACGGACACCTCCCAAATACCGCCTTTGAAGCACAGCTGATTCCAAGAATTCAGCATGCCAGAGCGATATTTGAGGTCGTGACTGTCAAATGAGTCGAGTTGCAAGGTCAAAACACCGTCCACAGTCGAAATAGCATCTGGATCGTACCACTCGAGATCTTGAGTCGCACCATACCAGCCGTCGAAGCCGAAAAAGAAAGGATCGTCCCCAGGGTAAAACGTCCTGTTGTTCGCGTTGAACTCGTCGCTGAAAACCAAGTTTAGTGTATCGCCATGGACCAGTGACTTCTTGGTCATCGCACTTTTGGGCGTGTCTGGATCGATCAAGCCGGATCTAACGTTCTTCAACAGCGGGTATTTGCGATCGTTAACATGAGCCCAAGCAGGTCCAGGACCGTCATTAGGGAACTCGTTTGCGGGAGTGTCATATGCGTAATCTATCATGCTGACACCCGTCACACTGAGTACGGGGAGGATGATGAATAGCGACAAAGCCCCTATGAGCATGAAGATAATTCCGACCAACGAGCAGATATTCTCGCGTGACAAGCGATCTTTCCACCGTGGCTTCAGCCGGACATCGTCGTCCACCATAGGCATGTGCATGTCATCATCGTCCTCTTTCTCATCCCACATCATGGGAAATGTGTAGCCTGCAGCATCGGCGCCGGGCGCACCTAGACGGTCGTCAAGGTAGGGGAAAAACGACTTTTCCGGGTCGAGAGCGTGATAGCCTGCGCCGCTAGCGACGGCTACACCTGCTGGTATGAAGGCTGCCTTCTCGCTCGACTCATGGGGTTGTTGTTCTTCTTCTTCCTCGGGGTTGGATGACATTCTCTTATTATCGCCGAAGGGATTCGAATGGCGCTTCTCGTTTGTGTTCAAAGGATGAGAACTTTTCGTTAAGGGAGGAACAGGTGGAGCTGGTCGCAAGTCGGTCATGGAGCTGTTGTTACTCCTAAAAGGATTGTAGTAGCGAGTATAATCCGACCCCAGCTCGTGTAGGGATCGCGGCGTGCTGCCTCTCCCTATGCTAGTCGATGATCGTCGAGAAGACGCTTCACTCCGCCTTGCACCAGGCATTCGAGGCGGAAGAGGGAGGTTTGCTGCACTTGCAATTGCGGCCGCTGCAGCTGCCCCGCCGACAGCTGCCGGACCGCGCGTTATATCTTTGGAGGAGCGGGCATTGCTGGAGGTCTTGCTTGTGCTTTCAGATGACGACGTCGTCACCAAGGGCGGGCCGCTAGTCGCCGACTCGGTCGGCGAGATTGAAGGCGGGAGTATGTCCGTTTCCTTCTGAGAAGAATTTGAGGCGGCGGAGCCTGGTCGTAACGATGGGGCGATCGGCTTGTCAGACTTGGACGATGTCGAACTCCGCGAGAGCGAAGCCGACGAGGCATGTGCATGAAGTGCCGTCGATGACCTGCCAGACTGCTCTGGCTCGTCCTCGAGCGAACCCCGATTAGAGCTCTTCTTGAGCGGCGAGAGTGGAGAAGGTGTCATGGTCGATTGTGTGATATGCTGGCCGGCCGAAGCGAGAGCTCTTCAAAAAAGCGACAGCGTCAATAGGACATCATAAAAACGCAGTGCACAACCAGAAGGCCCATCCAAGTGTACACCTCCGAAGATTCTTGCCGCGAATAAAAGTGTTTGATTACTTGGGAGGTTGTGAGGCGGGACCCGACAGACTGATGTTGAGATAAGTCTGCTGTAGAATTGCAGAACTCTGAAGAGGAAAGATCGAGTCGGAGATAAGCGGCTGCACCGTGAGGAGGGCAAGTTACCAGTGATACGAAGTCGGTGGCGAGGCCTGTGCAAGTCGCACTATGTGTGTAACGAGCGGGGAGCGGAGCGGTTCTAGGCTGGAGCAAGAGATATACGTGCGTGGGCGAGTTCAGTACCAGCAACCCAACGAGCAGAGGTGTCGATTGGTGGGGCCCGAAACAAGAAAGAGGGATTGAGCGCAGCACGACAGGTGGGGAGCAAGCGAGTGTAGGTTGGCAGGAAGCACGTCAGTTGCGATACGTTCGGCCAGGAAGCTGAGAAGAGGCGAGGAAAAGACAATAACGAAAAAGACGTCACACAAGAAGTGAAAGGCAGAGAGAGGACGGCGGGTAAACAGGAACAGGACCGGGACCACGTCAGTTGCCAGACGCAGGAAGAAAGGCTGCCGGGCCACCACCTCGATTAGCACCGTATCCGGCTGCGGGCTGTACCATATCGGACGACGGACGAAGCAGAGTGTGCATGTGGTCGATGGGTCGATGGGCGATGGGCGATGGACGATGGATGTTGATTGACTTAGCTCGCCCACCGGCCCGCGTCCGAGCGCCAACACTGGGGCGCGCAGAAACACCATGCACAACGGAAACCCATGATGAGATGACGGATCGTGCAAATGCCTGCTGCTGCTGCTGCTCCTCTTGCTGCACACGCCCAATCATTTGCGTCCCCATTGAGAGGCTGTTGTTCGACTGCCGTGCTGCGCCGAGCCGCGGATCCCTATCGATCACCGGATGGCTGCAATCTGGTTTCTCAGTCTTGCCGTCGACTCTAAAAACATGGCAGCAGCCACACCTGCAGCCACTTTTCCCGGTTTTGTTGGGGGGGTGGGAGGCCTGTCGTGAGCGGCCTGTCGTGAGCGGCCTTCCTCGTTGCAACGCACCCGAGGCGGAAGCGTCCGTGGCGCTCACCCAGCTTTGCCAACTCTTACGCCCCTAGCAGATCTCGATCTTTATCCTCGGAAAAGCCGGTGCTGCACTTGCACCTCGCGCTAGTGCACAGTGGGGCCTCAGAGGCTTCAAACTCTGCCCGCACTAGGCCCACCAGCCCCGTTGCCTTTGCACACCCATTCAAGCCTCGCACAAAATATGTCAAGGTCGCATCGCGTTTGTGGCGGTCCGTTGCAATGGTGATAGACCGCCACCACCATCATGTTTCTGTTATTCCCCGATGCAGTAAACAGCCCATTGGAAAAAAAAAGAAGCACCAACGGCTGTCCTAAGGTCTTAAAGTCTCACACTCCGCACGTGTGTCTCGGACTCGGCCTCGTACTCCATGCTTTTATGGCTGTCTTCCACATAGCCTCTCTTGCAGTACCTTATCTGTCTCAACGGAATAATCTGCGCCGCGATCCCGCCCATCACCCAACCTTGCTCCTCGATTCGATCGGCATTTCTAGTGTTTCACGGCGATATATGCACAGCGCCTGATCTTTCATGCCCTCCGCGCCTGTCATGCTCTCCCCTTGCATAGTTCAGGCGGAAATTTGACTTTGTTTACTGCAACATGCTGTGCGGTATTGGATGACATCGTATAGTGGAAATGCTGCTTTTTCCATCTCAACCCAAGTCGAATCCGATGCGGAGGGGCCTTACTGACAGCGGTCTTTCAAGCACCTCAGTGACCGACGAAATGCCTCTACCCCAAAGCTCCCCCAGCCCAGGAGCGCTAGCCAGCAAATCAGACTTTCCCTCCAGCGGCAGGACAGAAGTGTCCGCCCGCAGATGAGAA